CCCCCCTGCTCGCCCGCCTCTCCCTCCCAGCTGGTCGTATCTGTCGGTCGGTTCCCACGTTGAGACGGGATTGGGCGCGCATTTTCCCACACATACACCCTGGGCAGGCCGGACAGACGAGGACATCCTCCCCACTGGTGGTGATGCATACCACCGTCTCCGCCGATCGGGCTTCTGCCAGGATTGGTTTTTCAGCTACTCATCTTCGGGCAGGACACCGTTCCGGAGCATCGCCTCTCCTCTGAGCCCCTCCCGTCATCGGCTCCTGTCCTCATCTCTTCGTTCCTTTCTTGCCATCCCCTCTTGCCTACTCATTACCATGTCCGGAGCCACTGTTCCCGGTCAACGCGTTTGCCTCATCGTCATTGATGGCTGGGGCATCACCCCCGAGACCAAGGGCAATGGTTCGTTTCCTGGCCATTCATGTCCCCCCCCCCCCCCCCCTCCCCTCCTCTCCTCACGAAGACTGACGCTCCGGGTCTCTCCCTCCGCCCCCATTTCTCTCTCCCTCTGCCGGATGTCAGCCGTCTACCATGGCTGCACCGAGGTCATGGACCGCCTTGCAGCTGATGGCCAGGTACGCCCTCCAACCTACACCCTCTCCGTGCGTCTCTCCTGTCTTCTCACCGGCTCGCGCCTTGCAGCATGTGTCGCTTGCGGCGCACGGTCGTGCTGTTGGTCTCCCCGCTGGGCTGATGGGCAACAGCGAGGTCGGTCACCTGAACATCGGCGCCGGGCGTGTTGTCGAGCAGGACATCGTCCGCATTGATGCCGCCCTGCTGGAGGGTGAGTCTGGTCCTGTGGAGGATATCCCCATCGTGCGGGACCTCTTCAACAAGGCGGCCGCTGGCGGGCGGCTGCACTTCCTCGGCCTCGTGTCCGATGGCGGTGTGCACAGCCATATGGCGCATCTGAAGTCCCTGATGCTGGCGGCCCAGCGCACCGGCATTCCGGAGTCCTTCGTGCACTTCTTCGCTGACGGTCGCGACACTGCCCCTACTAGCACCCGTGCGTTTCCCAAGTCCCTCCCGCCCCCCCCTCCCTCCCTCTCTTCTTCTCCCCTCCTCCGGGAGGGTTTTTGCTGGTTGTTTGGACACACATTCAACCTAACACGGCGACAATGGTAAATCTCTCTCTCTCTCTCTCCCTCTCTGTCTCTCCCACACACAGTCGGTTACACTGAGCAGATGCTCCAATTCCTTGCCGAAAACAAGTATGGTAGCATTGCCACCATGACCGGCCGGTACTACGCCATGGACCGCGACACCCGCTGGGAGCGGACTAAGATCGCGTACGACATGCTGGTCGGCGGTATTGGCGAGGCCAGCACCGACCTCCTCGCCGTACGTGTTGCCTGGCCCATTTACACAGGCACTTGGTCTCTTTAACCCTCTCTTTCTCTTTCTCTTTCTCCCTCTCCACCCGGTCCTTTGTTCCTTTCACCCCCTCACATACAATGTGTCCCCCTTTCAACATGCTCCTCTGCCTCTCTTCTGATGGATCAGACCATCAAGGCTCGTTACGACGCCGGCGAGACGGATGAGTTCCTCAAGCCGATCATCCACAACACCGAGGGCCTGATTCGCGGTACGGTCCCCCTTTTCATCCAGTACCCGGCGCCTCGCCCCTCGCCCCTCCTCCATCCCCTCCAGCAGGCAGCGCCAAGTGCTCGATGCTTTTCCTGACCTCTTGCCGACCCCCCCCCCTCTGGCAGACGGTGACACTATCCTCATGTTCAACTACCGCTCGGACCGCATGCGCCAGCTCGCCCAGGTGTTCAACCCCGATAACCCGACCCTCCCCTTCGAGTCGGACTTCCCTCGCCCGAAGGACCTGGTATGTGCACCCCCGAGTTTGATTCTGTCTTGTCTGCCCCTTTGCCCGCCTGTCCAGCATACTGATCGTTCTTTCCCACCTGTTCCCTCTGCTCTGCCCCCGCCCCCCTCTCCCTCTCCCTCTCTTATGGCCGAACTCCTACAGCACATCAAGACCATGACCCGCTACCATGCCCTGCTGGACTACGATGTTCTCTTCCCCCCGAAGTCCATGGATAATGTCCTTGCTCAGTGGCTCTCCAAGAAGGGCCTCTCCCAGTACCATGTTGCCGGTGCGTCTCCCCTACCCGTCCTCCGATCTCGATGCCGTCCCACAGTCGCGCTTGCCCCCTAGCCCGGCCACTTACCCTGTCATGTTGGCCCTTTCCCCTTTCCACCCACACAGAGACCGAGAAGTATGCGCATGTCACATTCTTCTTCAATGGCGGTCTGGAGAAGGCTTACGCCGGGGAGGAGCGCATGATGGTCCCCTCGCCGAAGGTGGCCACGTACGACCTCCTGCCGGAGATGAATGCCCAGGGGGTGGCTGAGGAGGTTGCCGCTGGCGTGCGCTCTGGGAAGCATGCCTTCGTCATGTGCAACTTCGCCCCTCCGGACATGGTCGGCCACACGGGCAACTTTGATGCTGCGGTGAAGGCCATTTCTGCCACTGGTGCGCTTTTGCCATCCCCCCCCCCCCACCACCGGCAAGCAAATTTCTCTCCATTTCGACCTCTGCCTCCCTTGCCTTCTTGGACCCGTTGCTTCCCTCGCTCTCTCTTGCTCTCTTTCTCTCTTTCTCACACCCCGACGATATCTCTTCGCTCTCCTGGCGTCCGACACAGATGCCGCCATTGGCCTGATTTCCCAGGCCTGCCTTGAGGCAGGTTACGTGCTGATGATCACCGCCGATCATGGCAATGCTGAGCAGATGATCGACTCCGAGACCGGTCAGCCGCACACTGCTCACACTTGCAACCGTGGTGCGTGGCTTTCTGCCCCTCACTCTCTTCCCCCCTCCCATCATGTTGCCCCCCCCCCCCACCCCCCCCGTCTTCCTCCTTGCCCCTGCCACCGCTTACCTCCATGTCCACGTGTGTGTGCACGCACAGTTCCATTCATCATTCACCCCAAGGTGGCGGATTTCCTGCCTGAGGACGAGGGGATGCGTCTGTGTGATGTGGCTCCAACCATCCTCCGGGTGATGGGGCTTGACCAGCCGAGCGAGATGACCGGCCGCTCGCTTCTCGCCTAGTGCGGCCCCAAATGGAGCCCACCCATCCGAATGCCCCCCCCCCCCCCCCTCCCCCCCTCCCCCTCTCGTGTGCCTAGCCCCTATATACCCCTGCATTGGTGTGCCTCACGTCCTCTCCCACATACCCGCGCATGTGGTCTTTGACCCTCTTTCTCTCGAGAGCGGCGCAGAGGTCCACCCGTTGCCAGGCCGACGCGCGAGGTTTTTCACATCGCTTCAACTCCCAGAGTGGGCATTTATCTTTGTATTTATATGAGGGGCGCGTGTCCATGGGCCTATCGAGTCCCTTGTCCCAGGGCCATTCGGTGGGCCAAAGACAAGGGGGAGGCAGGGCGGTGGGGAGGGGGGAGGATCAAGGCAAATGTACACGTGCAAAGGTCTAGAGAGAGAGAGAGAAGTGGTGGCTGTGATGGTGGTCGACATCATGTGGGGGAGAGGGAGCACGGCCCCATTTCCTTTGCCACCATGGCGAGGTCTTCTTTCAAGCTGCTCCTTAAGTTGGCCACACCGGGAGGGGGCTGATGGCGCACAGAGGAGGAAACACACAAGGACGCGCGCGAAGACGCCGGGGACACATTGGCATTGGAAAGGCACGGGAGGGGGGGGGGGGGAGCCCCTTCACACCTGGGGGGAGGCCACCCCGGCAGGGGTCGCAGGCGCCTCGTGGAGGATGTGGCCATCCTCATCGAGCTCGAAGAGCTCCGGGTTCTGGATGGCGAAGTTGACCTCTGGCGAGAGGGCAGGATCGGCATAGATCGGCTGAGCAGACTTCTTGGTGAGGTACTTCCGGTGGATGAAGCGAATCATCAGACGCAGGGCCGAGTCGGTGGTCATGAACACATGGTCGTGACGGAGGAGGTCGAACACATTGAGTGCGTGCGCCGGGAGGACGTTCACACCCGGGAGGTTCCTTTGGGCAGGGCATAATCGGTGAGTATCAGCAGCATATATGTATATCTCACACGCGGGAAGTGTGCATCTGTATAGATGCATGTCTGATCTCCTGCCGCGACCATTGAGTAGCGAGGGAGGGAGAAAGAAGAGAAGAGGGAAAGGGGGGGGGGGGGGGGGGGGGGGGGGGGCGTGGTATACGCACTTGTACGCCAGGCTGAAGTTCTCGGGAGTTGGGCCGGAGAAAACGAAGAGGACGCGCTTGTTCTCAAGACCTGGGGGAGGGGGGGGGGGAGAGGAAGGAGCGAATCAATTGGCCATGATCCGTTAGGGGCGACTATTCCTCGCGTACATGTGGTGGACAGGGCAGGGCAGGGAGGGCAGAGATGACATACCGCGGGCGAAGAGCATCTCATAGAGGCAGCGGGTCTTGTGGCTCGGGATGTCGAACGGCTGGACCAAAGTGAGCTTGTCCTGGGCGAACTTCACGGTCATGGCCGTGCGCAGGGCCAGGCAGCGGACCTTCTTCTGCAGGGAGAACTCGAAGTTGCGCGGGCGCGGGCCGTGAGTGATACCACCACCGCGGCGAATGGGCGAGGTGATGCCGTTCACACGAGCACGACCAGACCCCTTCTGGGCATAGAGCTTACGCGTGGCACCGGCGACCTCGGAGCGGGTCTTGGTGCTGGCAGTGCCGGCACGGCGCTTGGCAAGCTGCCAGCGAACAACTCTGTCGATGGGGGCACACACACACACAATGGGGCATGGGCGGGAGGGGGAGGAGGGGAGGGAAGCAGGACAGCGTTAGGAGAAGAAGGGAGAACATGTTTGCCCCTCGTGGAGGCATGTCGATGGAAGCCGGCATGAGGGCGCACCGCTGGAGGAGATCCGCCCGAATGGGGGCACCAAAGACCTCCGGATGGAGGGGAGCCATGGCAACCGACTGGCCAGTCTGGAAGTCCTCAACCCAAGCATGCAGGGCAGTGTCGGCGAAGGGAATGTCCTCATCCGCGAACAGCTCAAGGCGAATGGAGCCGAGGGTGCTGTCCTGAGCATAGGAGGCCTGCTCCTCCTCCTCATCAGAGTCGACATCCTCATCGTCAGAGTGGGCGGAGAACTTGTTGCCGGAGAGGGACTCCTCCTGGTTGTACTCCTCAAGGTCCTTGTTCATCTCGGACATAGCGGCGGCCACCGAGACCTTGGCGTCGGTGGTTGTCTCGGAGGCAACCGTCTGCAGGAGATATTTGCGGGAGGGAGGGAGAAGGGCGAGAAAGAGGGTGAGGGGGCTGTTCTCATCGCCAAAGTATCTGAACAGGGGGGGGGGGGGGGGGGGGCAGGGGCTTCACCACCCGGACGATGGCCGCCTGGATGATGGGGTGGGGAGCCTGTGCCGCGGGGGACTGGGTGCCCGGAGTCGCGCCACCCAGAGCCAGACCCTGATCCGAGGTGCTGCCACCAACAGCGGTTGTTGGGTGTCCATCGCCCTTGAGAACCAGCAGAAGCGAAGCCTCTGGACGTTTCCTGATGGCCGGGCGGTGTCAGTGTGAGGGGAGGTATAGGCACATGGTGTGCGTGTGCGTGTGTGTGCGCCTGTATAAGGGCAGGTGGGCGTGGGAAAGGAGGAGAGACGCAGAGACATACCGCAAACGAACGGTACACCTGGTGACCCGGGGCAGCAATCGCGGGGGGCGGGGCAGAGATTGACATGGTAGCAACTCGGGCGGTGACCGGGGCAAAGGCAATCGGCCGGGCAGCGGCAGCAGCCGGAGCGGCAACACGCAGGCACCGGGCGGCAGAGGAGAGCAGGGCCTGGCGGAACATGATGCTAGGGCGCGAGGGCAGTGCTCAATAGGGAGGGGGCTCTGGAAGTGGAAAACCAGCCGCGGTCCGATCTCGCTCTCGCAGACTGGCTCTTTTGAGGACAGGCCAGGAGATGGGGGTGATAGGGGAGGGAGAAGGAGGGGGGCGGGAGGGAAGAGAGGAGGGAGGGGGGGGGAGGGGGGAGCGAGAAGACGGATGTGGGTGCTCCCAGGGTAGAGGCCTCGGTGGAGAAAGGGGTGGCCTTTTGCGCCTGGCAAAAGAGAGATCGGAATTGTGCCAGGTGGGTGCCCTCGTCCTGCCCGGCCTAGCCCCTCCCTTCCACCCTTGCGCCCCTTCACCGCGCGACGCATCCTTGGGCAACGGGCGTGGAAGCGCATCCCCGCGTGTCGCCCTGGCGGCCTCCGGGCCCCGAGTGGCGGGAGTGCCTTGTCTTGCTTGGATGTGGAGCCAGATGGGCGCCGCGTGCGGTGCCGCCAGGGCGTGGACGGGATACAGAGAGCGCTCGCCTCCGTTTGCGGGCCAGCGGCGCTTCTGGCAGCGGGTATGTGCACCGCCAGTGTTGTGGTTGTTCTGGAAGCACAACAGAACACAATACTATTTAAGGCGAATATCCATCGGCACTTATATGTGTCCATGGGTTGGCAGTCGTCTATTTTGGGTGGTGCTTCCGCGGGACCATCGCGTGCCGGCCAGTCGGCTGGAGGCACAGATCTCTCGATCACTCTCTCCACTCCCCTCACACTCCCCGAGGTCTCTCCTCCTCCTCCTCCTCCTCCTCCCTGCCCGCTTGCCTGGCTTTCTCTCTTTCTATCCTCCGCCTCTCTCCTGTGTCCCCACACAAACACACGCCCTGCAGCAGCAGCAGCAGCAAGCATACACTTTCCATCGACCTCCGTACATTCACTTGTTCCACACCAGAGAGTAGGAACGCAGACAATAGGAGGATGTCGCCAAGCGCGGCCTATAGCCTGAGCCTGGATCAGGCCCGGCAACTGCTGGTCCAGTGTCTCATGAGCCAGTCGATTTTCTCCGCTGACCAACTCAACCGGATATGGGCCGAGTTGAGCTTGCGGGTGTCTCCGTCTAGCCTCTCCGGGGAACCGGCTCCATGTGCGCACTCATATCCTCCCCCCGCCGCCCTCTTCCAAGCCCCTTCTGTATCCACTCATCAAGGCCCGGCTGCATGTACTCACTCCCCTTGGTAGCACTCACGGCAATCCTCAACATCGCCAATCGCAAACTCACTCCGCTGGGCTTCCGTGTGGTCAACTTCCCGAGCCACTTTGACCCGACCACCTCGTACTACGTGTTTGTGCGTGTATTTTGCTCACGAAAGCTGGCCTCCATGTTGCCTCTCTCTCTCTCTCTATCCCCATTTACTGACCTTCCTGTCTCCTCGTAACCTCATCAAGGCGAACCTCGAAGATGATGAATTCTCCAAAAAGACATCTCTCTCCACGATGGAAATCCTGTACTTTGAGCTGGTGGTGCGTATCTGACATCGTTGATTCCCGGACGCCGCAAGTCCATTCTGCTGACTGCTTCTCTCTCCCCCCCCCCCCTCTCTCTCTCGCTCTCTTTCGGCTGTCTCAGATTCGTCGGGTGGTCGAGTCCCCCGGCTGCGTCGCCGACCGACGGGATCTGCTGAACGTTCTGAATGATCCACTTCCACATGCATCAACGCAGGACGCCACCACTCAAGGCGAGGGCTCGATGGATGGGGGCGCCAGTGCCCCCCTGCCGCAGCGCTTGAATATGACCAAGCTCGAGGCACAGAACCTTCTTAATCAGGTGCGCTTCCAGGGTCTTTTCAAGCTGATTCCCGATTGCCCGACCGCCAGCTCACATTTGACTTATCTCTCTCTCTCTCTCTCTCTCTCCCTCCGCGAATCGCACCATGCGGCGGATAGTTCATCTGGGAAGAGTGGCTGTCTGAGTTCAGCCAGGAGGCCATCGATGGACTGCCAAGCATGGACGTGATGCCGACCCCGGGGATGGTCACTCTCGGTCCACGGGCGTTTGTCGATCTCAAGCCCTACCTCGCGCGAATGTACAACACCCCAGACGAGCCGGAGCAGCAATTGCTCTTTGAATGCGCCGTTTGCCGCGGCCTGGTTGGATTTGTGCGTTCTGGCCTTTGCGCCCTTTCCTTCTCCCTGCCCCCTTCCCTATCTTTTCCTCCTATCTCTCTCTCTCTCTCTCTCATCCCCTCCTCCCCCGTCTCTCCCTTCCCATTGTCCGACTCACATGCTTGGAATCTTCCCAGGGGCTTTCGTGCCGCTCGATCAACTGCCCAGGGCGGGTGCATCTGTCCTGTGCAGCTCGACGGCCCGAGTGCCCCGCCTGTGCCGCGCCTTGGGACACACGCCGCCCTCCTGAGTCACCCCTCGACGCTTGATCGAGCGAGTAGAGCCCCCGCGAAGGCCGGGCATCTGCATCCGAAGGTGGCGACGAGCGCATGGGCCTCCTTGGCACGGCTCCTCATAAATAAAGGGGTGATGCTCGCCAGTAGCCGGTGTTTGGGATGGGGGGGGGGGGGAACCAGCGAGAGGCAGGGAAAAGAGGGACAAAAAATAATGCGAAATGTGCTATCGGGGATCACCTCGAGTCGATTAAATCAATCTCTCAATTTAGGGTAGGTTATTGCCGGCCAACGGGAGAGGGGTCGGGCACCTCGCGGGAAGTGGGGCCGGCTGCCGGATCTTTTGTCCCTCCCATCGTTCCCGTCGGCGGTATGCCCACGGGCCGATACAACATGTCCCTATCCTGTGTGGGTGAATGTGTGGGTGTTTTTCGGCTGCTGCTGCTGCTGCTGGACCCCGACCCGTTGCTGGACACTTGTGTCTGCCAGAGCCACGTCGGGGGGGCAGTCATTGTGCCGGGGTGGTGCCGGATGTCCGGGCCTTTGTCCAAAAGGACAAGTCGAGCCCCTGTGCTCGTCCCCATCTGTTCCGGGTATTTCTGTTCCGCAGTTTGCGCACGCGAGTAGGGTCGGGCAGCGCAACGGGCATGATCTAGCGTCTTCAGATTGTACTTGGAAGCCCTCCTTGGGCCTTCTCGGTGACGCTGTGACCCGGGGGGGGGGGGGGCGGAGGGCGGCGGCTGGGACAGAAAGGCTAGAAAAATGAGACTGGGTGGGGAAGGCCGAGAGGGATGTGCGCCCCCGGCTTGGGCGTGTGCTGGCCATGCCCACGTCCTCGGCGCTGGCACAACTGCCCTCTTGGTGGCAGGGGGGGAGTCCTTTCAGCTGAAAAAAATGTGATCTCTGCCTTTCTTTGCGTGGCTTTCCTTTCCCTTGCGGGCGGAAATGCGGGCCCTGCGGTATTGTTGAATGCCATAATCAAACTCTATTTTCCTCGTCATGCCCCCCCGTGGCTGGGCGACTCGATGGGTGGAGGCACGATCTCCTCCAGGACCCGGATGTGCGGGGATGCGGGAATTTGGGAAGGACCACCACGCGGTGGTCGGTACTGGTGCTGATGAGGCTTTAGGAGCATTGCCTAGGCGCGGCCGTTACGCGTGTGTGCCGCCTTCCTCTTGCCTCGAGCCATTCTGGCGTGTATGTGTGTAAGGGAGTGTGTGTGTGTGTGTGACTGTGCACTCATGTGTGGGTCTTGGGCGTGTGCACGAGCGTGTTCGGCTGCGGGTCCGAAGCGCCGATCAGGGGGCCGGGCATAATTGGATGTGTGCCGCCCCCGGCGCATGCTCGCATGATGGATGATCTTGTTCGCCTGCCTGGCCAGGGGACACGAGGGCTCGGAGACCCGAGAAGGAGGTGGCCGGGGATGGTCGGCTGGCAGGGGGACAGGGGGTGGCCCGGCGTTCGGGCCCTTGTTCTGCGCCTCTCGGTGGCTCCGAGCCGGTCACCAGGGAGGCGACATGTGAAAACTTGCCATCCACTTCCGGGGCCTTGTATTTGTTTCACCCCAAGCGGGGTCTTCCTCTGCCGGAGGTCGGCGTGGGCGGGGTCCGGCGCGAGGAAACCGGCTGGAGCCGGGCCGGCAGGCCGCAAGAGCGGGGGCGTTGTCGGCGCGGCCCGCGGACAAGGGTCGGGGCACGGCTGGAGAGTGGCCGCTTGAGGGGACCCGAGCCCTCGGTCAGTGTGTGTGTGTGTGTGTGTGTGTGTGAGAGAGTCGCCTTCGGCCGAGGAGATCTGACATGGGATTGGGCGGGGCCGAGGGCGGAGCGGCTGGCGTGGGTGTCCTTGGGAGTCCCATTCTTCTTCCTCCTTCCGCGCATGCCGCTCCAGCCCCCAGCCCCCGGCCCCTGGGATCTGGCGGTTCAGGGCGCTTGGGGTGTTGTTGGGGGGGGGGGGGGGGGGACTTGGCACCTGCGCGCCGGGGGCTGGAGGCAGCCCCGACGCCTCCAGCCAACGTGTTGACTGCCCCTCGGCCTCTCGCCCCGGGCCTCTCTTCTCGGCCTCTCTTCCCGCCAAGGGGTCCTGCCTGGGTGCGCCGACCGGGGCGGTCCAAGCCTGGATGTCTCTTCATGCGGGTGTTCACGCAAGTGCACAAGAATGCGCCCGAATGGATGTGCGGGCGTGTGTCTGTATCCTCCACGTGTGTGTGTATATGTGTGTGTGTGTGTATGTGTGTTTGCGACGGAGCTGGCTCACACCTGGACGCATGCACCCTGCGCGGCGATCGGCGATCCCCCTGCCGCCGGACATGGCCGCGTGAGGCGAGACCCATGCCAGCAGGAGCACCCTCCTCCGACCGACGTCGATCGATGCCGACCCCAAGGGGGCCGGTGTCCAGCACTAGACTGGGCGTCCGAAGGGCATACGCTCCCGGTACCTGACGGTTGTTTGCTTGCTTGCTTGGGTCCATCCTCCGGGTGGTGTCCTCTCCGGGGCACTCTTAGGACACCACTCCTGGGAGTTTGCCCCTCCCGCCGGGCCGCGACCATGTCTCCTTGCCGATGCCCGACCTCCATCCGCGCCATCTGTCCGCCCGTCCCTTTGCCACCCTCCTCCTCCCCTTCCCTCCGTCTTTTCATCGGTTTGTCCTTCTTTCCCTCGGCCATTTGTCCTGCCCCAACACGCGATGGCTGCCACACCCGGCTCGCCCGCGTCCCTCGACTCCGGGGACCCCTCTTTCTCCCCGGACGCCGGGATCTCTTACCATGGCCAGGGATCGGTGTCTGTGGCAATTGCCCCCACCCCGACTCACTCCCGGACCTGTGACTCTTCCACGGTATGTGCCGTCGATCTTCCAAGTCGCTTCCTGCCGGCCAGCTGACTGTCTGCCTGACCTTGAATTTCTTCCCCGCGAAATGGCCTCCCTCTTGCGCAGGCGCAGCGCCCTCCACCTCTCAACCTTTACTGGGATGACATCAGCCTGACTGTGGACCTGCCAAAAGGTCTCCTGTCCCAGCAGGCGAGTGCCACCAAACTCCCGGGAGATGCGAACGAATACCAATCGCTGATCAACCACGAGGTGGACTCCCCGGCCGGGGCATCCTACTCAAGCCCCGAGTACTTCGGGGGAATCGGCATCGATGGCGACGCCGGGCTCTTCCGAGACTCGGTCAGCAATGCCCTTCCCTCGGCCGACCTGTCGGCACCGGACTTCCGTGACAGTGTGGCTTACGCTCCGGCAACGAGTCTGCCGGATCCCTCGAAAAAGGTCATCCTCAGCTCCCTGTCCGGCGCGGCCAACGGCTCGGAGATGACTGCCCTCATGGGCAGCAGCGGTGCAGGCAAGGTGCGCGCCTTGGGGATGGTCTGCCCTTTGTGCTCTCCCAATGCCCCCACGCCCTTCCACTGACACAATATCTCCCTCTCTCTCTCTCTCTGCCCCTCCCTCTCGCTCGTTTGCTAGACCACCCTGCTGGACATCCTGGCCGGACGGACGTTCAACTTCTCTGGCCGGGTGTCGGTCAGTCACACGATCCCCGGCCAGGGCGACAAGGCTCCCACCCGCAAGTTCGACGCTTCGGCGAAGGAACTCCGACGTCTCAGCGCATACGTCACACAGGATGATGTGCTGATCGCCTCCTTCTCCGTGCGGGAGACAATTCTCTTTTCAGCGCGCATGCGTCTGCCCCACAAGGTCCCTGAGTCGGCGAAGGTACTTCCATGTCCCCATTCCGGAGTCTCGTTTCGTTGCTTCCCCTGCTTTTGTCCATTCCCTGGCACGCACACACGCTCCCCATCCCTCTCCCCCCCTCTTCGCACCTCCTCGACTGTACACATCACCGCCCCTGGACTTACCCATGGCCCCTGCAATGGCATCTTGAACCACGTAGATTGCTCGCGTGAACTACCTGATCAAGCTACTCGGACTTTCTTCCTGTGCCGAGACGCGCATCTCCCAGGTGTCTGGGGGCCAGCGCCGGCGGACAGCCATCGCCGTGGAGCTGGTCACGTCGCCCCGTATCCTCTTCCTGGATGAGCCGACCAGTGGCCTTGACTCCTTTACCGCTTACTCGGTTATGCGCAGTCTGCGCTGTGCGTGCCCTCATTTTTGTTCGTGTCCTCTCCACCGAGACGTATGGCTGATTGCGGCGCCCCTTCTGTCTGTCCTGCACCGTCCCCCCCCCCCCCCCCCCCCCCCCCCCGCATGCTTGAATTGTATGAAGCCATCGCCCGCTCCGGCTGCACGGTTATCACCACCATCCATCAGCCGAGCTCAGACCTTTTCTCCCTCTTTGACCGCTTGGTCCTGCTGCACAGTGGCCAGACCGTCTTTTCTGGCTCAGCCAAGGAGTCAATCACCTATTTCACGAAGGTACGCCATATTGCGTGGGGTGCTTGTGTGTTGCTCC